TCTTTTTTTGAAGATTTTTTTTGTACCTGCATATATCAAAGAAAATATAGACTTTTACCCGTCCAAGAGTTCATATTTTCCATTGGCCCCCAGTCATTTCAAGCTAGCTCCATCACTGCACGGGCCACTTCATGGTTAAATCAGACGGACTAAAATATTGTACTCCCTCTGTACCGAAATAGTTGTCGCTGGAGTAGTTTTTAATATTTTGATTTTTGCAATACCTTGCTACCAAACACAGCCTAAATCAGACGGTATGGTCGGGCTAGATCAAACGGCCAGCAAGGTGGCTTAACTTCCTTCCCTGGCATTAGCCGGATGATTCCTTAGCAGCCTCCTAAAAATACTCAAATGAGAGATGCTACACTTACACGCAAACTCCTACGGATTAAAGCATACGGACTCTCCTGGGGTCGTTAGATTGGGGAGAGGAGGGTCCCACCTACACCTGACCGTGGGCAGCCTGGCCCGGTTCGCCCGGCCCGACCTTGTTCACGGGCCAGGCTCGGGCCTAGATTTCAAGCCTGACGGCTGGACCGGGCCGAGACCGGGCCTGTCATATTTGCGCATTAACGAAGAGGCCCGGCGGGCTTTTAGTGTCATGGGCCGGGTTCGGGCCCGATTTTTAGGCCCGACGGTCGGGCCGGGCCGGGCTCGAGCCTGGGTTTTTTGCATCGAACTTTGATAGGCCCGGCCTGGCCCGACAGATGGCCAGGTATAGTCCCATCCCTAAAATTCAGGGGAAGAGAGATGAATTAGATGCATCCACGACTGTCCGTAGGAGTGTTTCCGTAACTACTGTCCGTAGGTGGAGCAATTTCGATACCGAAACACTCTGTATATATATGTTCATTTCATACTTGTGCCTATCCAAAATGAGTAATGTTACATATACATAAGTTTACATGGGTTTTACAAACAGGTGGGTTGTGATTGGAGGTTAAGGAGGAGGGGCCCACCTCCATGAAAATCAGGGGGAGTGGTTAGTTAGAAAGAAAGAATCCTAATCAGCGTGTAATTACGTGTAACTCTTTGTATGTTTAGCATTATTGTCCAAAAACTCAAGAAACTCCACGTATATTTTACAATCTCTGTTTGCCTATTTCACTGTATATAGAAACATATTCTGTATTCCCTGTGCCTATTACACTTTACCACTACTATCCAAAAATCTTGCAACTGGTAACAATAATGCTGTCATTCATTTTTCTATTCATCTGTGCTGTATATATGAATGTACATTGATCATGTTAGTGCGGCAGCGCAGTTAGGCAGCAAGCACACCCGCCTGTCATCTCCCTCCGTCTTGCTGCTGCTGCTGCAGCACGGTGAAGTGGAACTCAATCTGCAGCCGCCGGTGGGGCGCGCCGGCGTCGGCGCACCCGCTCTGCTCGATGTGCAGCTCCTCCCTCAGCGGGATGGCGGCCAGGAACCTCTTGATGAACTCGCCGCAGCACTCCTTCCCGGTGGCGACCACCACCTCCTCCTCCGGCCCCGACGACGGCGACGAGTCCGGCGACGGCACGGCGCGCATCTCCGACGTGGCGTCGAACCTGAGCATGTAGGCCTTGTCGCAGCCCTCGAAGAGCCGCTCGCCGAGCGTGTCCACGACGTGGTAGCAGTCGCTCTCGGCCTTGAGCACGAAGAAGTGGTCGTTCCAGCTGACGATGTACACGTCGGCCTCGCCCGGGGCGCGCTCGCGGGCGGCGGCGCCGGCGCTGATCTCGCGCCAGATGTCGTCGAACGACATGGCGCCCGACAGCGACGCGAAGCTCTCCGGCTGGAAGAAGCCGACGAAGGCCCTGTCGTGCTCCACGGCGATGGGCCGCGTTCGCGCCGCCAGCACCGTCTCCAGGTCGAAGTGCCGGTTGGGGAACTGCGCCATGTGCGCCTCGTCGTCGCAGAGCCGCCTCCACTCGGACGAGCCGTCGCGGATGAGCGCGTCCAGCTCCGCCCGGGTCGGCATCAGCGGGTGGTTGGCGTGGAGCGCCGCCGCCAGCACGGCCACCAGCGCCGTGCACGCGCTCTCGCCGCCGGCGCTGTCGTCGCGCTGGTCGATGGACGCGAAGAAGACCGGCGTCCGGAGCCTCGTCTCCGAGTCCCGGCTCGTGAACTCGCGCGCCTCCCAGGCATCCTCGTCGTCCCCTCCCACGCAGCATTTGACGACGGGCATCTCCTGGGACAGCGACTCCCAGCTGCGCCGCCGCCACGGCAGGAACCGGCGCTTGGAGGTCGACCCGGGCTCCGGGCTGGCGCCGCCGCTGGTGCTGGTGCTGGCGCTGCTCAGGCTGACGGTGCTGCTGCTGCTGCTCATGCCGCCGCCACTGCTGGCGCTGCTGGTGTCCGAGTTGCGCTTGTTCCGGTACACCGCCACCCTGCCCTGCTTCTCGGCGAGGTCGAGCAGCTGCTTCAGGTCAAGAACCTCGTGGTACGTCGAGCCCCTGTGGATCTCCCTCATCGTCGGGGCCGGCGTGGGGTTCGCCCTCGGCTTCTCCCTGAAGGACACGCTCCTCTCCACCTCCGCCGGCGCGCTCAGGTCCACCAGCTCCACGTTCACCTGCCGTTCGTCAAAAGCACACAACTTTCAGAAACCAGGCCTCCATTGATGCATATATAAGCCAGAACACACAGGAGCACAGCAGGATTCGGAGTCCTACCCTAGATCGCAACCAGCATGACATATACTGAAACCTAAACTAATCCAAACTCGTACGTAAATAATTGGCCGAGAATTGGAGAGGATGTGCGATGTAATCAAAGGATGTATATTTTGGTGGCTTACATAGAGCATGGCATCGCTTGCCCACCCGTCCTTCCGGACCCTGATGGGGACAACCACCAGCTGCTGCAGAGGAGCCCCAACTTTCTGCTGCTGCTGCTGCTGCTGCAGCTGCATCTCCCAGCAGCACTCCTCCAGGCTGATCATGGCTGTCCCGATCTCGTCCAGCCTCACCAGGTCCTTGCCCCTCCCTTGTTCCTGGAATCCCTGCACCACAACAGCAAGCTATTCTCGTTACAGATTTGCCAGCTCCGATGACCGAAAGCCCACGCATGATACGTACACACGAGAATGAATACGACCCCTAAAGAAAGCAGAGATGCCTTGATTCGGCGCCATTGATTCCGCCGTAAGTTTCATGACCGATCCATTGATTGATTATCCTCAAATGGCTGGCAAAAGGTTGATCACCCCTCAAGGAACAACAATTCCCTGTCCATGTAATACTAAGTAGCTTGCACTCCTCAAAGGTTGTTCCTTTGCGTTTTTGCTTTAAAACGAAGTTTCCAACTTTGGGATGATCCATTGGAGCTGAAACTCCCAACATTTTTTACTTTAAGAAGGTGTTCTTGTAATACACAGTTAGGGAGATTAACTAATTACTGTTATAACTTATAACCTTTTTTGTGATGCACAAGTTTAGCCAACAACCGATTAACCGGAACGGAGCAAAAAGGTGACACCACATTGAGACCAACCAACCAACGATCCAGGCACGCGCACATCAACGCCGAAAGATACACAACACAACGCGCCATCCATCCAACTATCAACCAAATGCATCTTTAACGTACACGAAAGCGATCTTCGGTAGTAAGTACTGTTAAGCCATAACACTCGAGCATAAATGCCATGACTCAACACCTCATGTCATAGATCATGCTATGCCACCTAAAAACAAAAACCTAACCAAAAGTCAAACTTAATTGCCCGGCCAATAGGAGCGCCCGACCTACGTGGCCCCGCCCCACCCGGTGCTGCTGCCGTTCACAGTTTCAGACCTCGTGGTGGCATTATTATCACCCCTTTTTTGACGAAATCGCTCCCCCGACAGGGAAGTGAAAAGGAAGTGAGGAGAACGCTTCTTGTTTGGCCCAGCCAGCACTAGTGCTAGGTTATGTCATGGATTTTGGAGCCATGTGTGTAAGGCAGCCATTGACTTCTCTCCCCCAAATGCTGAATTTCCTGACCGCTACTTGGCAAAAAGGTTTGCATTGACCTGAGGCGTTGTAAACTACGGTCGTCGTCTCAGGCTTGCGGGTTACAAGAAATGCTGTCCGCGCGTTAGGCTTGCCTCGACGTAATGGTAATACATCATCAACGCTATCATTGAGGAAAAATAATGCGTGTGTAGTTTTTTTTTCCAAACGCGTGTGTAGTTTTTAAGATTGCAAGATTTGGACGCATTGGTAAAGTGTGCTTGTTTATGACAGAGCATAGAGTAAAGTTAATTAGACACCCTAAACAATCCATGTTCGTTTGTTTGTTTGTCTGCTGTTGATAACAGAGTTATAGTAATTATCGTAGTGGTAAATCTGTCGCAAAGGTAGAAATTTTCAACGGTGTGTTGTTTGTAGAATCGGCGGAAATCGTGTGTTGGTATGAAAAATGTGCAGGAAAAACTGCGGCTTTGGAAAGAAAATGGAGGGATTGTATTAGAGGACTGTTAAACTGAGCTAGGCGAAATTAGGGGAGAAACGGAGTGGCAGCGGCAGGGAGCACTCACGTAGAGGACGGAGAAGAAGACGCCGCGCTCCGGCCGGCCGGCGCCGGCCCCGCCGCGCGTCGTGCTGGCGCCGGGGTCGACGTCGACGCGGAAGCGGTTGGCGTCGGCGGCGGCGTCCCAGCGGACGGCGCCGTCGCCGCCGACGGGCTCGACGGCGGTGACCCCGCGGCCGCCGCGCCGGCCCGTGAGCATCTGCGAGAGCGCCCCGCCGGCGCCGGGCCACTTGACCTTGACGGCGGCCACGGCGGGGGCCGACCACGCGGCCGGCAGGCCCTCGAGCTTGGTCGGGCCGACCCGCACGCCCCGCCGCCGCGCCGGCGACCGCCTCACCACCATGCCGCCGCCCTCCACCTCCGCTCCCCCGAGCGTCGGTCGGCCGGCCGGCCGG